GGGGGCGGCGGGCGGATAGCAGGGGCCGGGCAGGCAGGCGTCAGCATGGCGTCAGTGCGATCGGATCGCAGGCGAGAAGAGAAGTAAAGGCGTTAGCGAGCAGGAGAGAAGCGGCTCCGGTCGTGGATCTGAGATTGGGAACGGGACCGCCGAGTCCAAGTTCGCCGCTGCGGTCCCCCTGCCTCGAAGCCCGCCCGCGCCGTCCGCGCCCGCGTCGTCCGAGTGCAACGCGCGCAAAGTCTCGACAGCCCGTGTCCTTCTCCCCCTTCGCTCCGGTGGTGGCACTCTCGTCCACGACGCCGCCCGCCCCAGCGGCGACCGCGAGGACACCAACCACGACCGCCTGCCCCTCTGAGGTCACCGCCCCCCTGGCTCCCGGGTCACCTTCTTCCTGGAGACGCCACCGGCTGCCCCGCAACTGGTACGTACCACCGACAGACAGCACCTCGCCGTCGACGCGTGCCCGCCGAGCCCCGAGCCCCGAGCCCCGCGGCGGCCACCTCGTCGGCACGCGGGCTCGTAGAGAGGTTAGCCTGGCCCGGCGCGGACCGGCGGCGGAGTGGAGGGCGGCGACCAGCAGCGGTCCGAGGAGGAGCGAATGAATGAGTTGTCAGGTGGTTGACAGCCGTGATGTGGCCGTCCGAAACGTCCAGCAGCCTGCGGGAGCTTCTGCGCCGGCAGGCATACACTCTAGGACAATTTGTCACACGTATACTTGAATGTGGTTGTCATCACTCCAAAGTCCATTAAGTAGATAACAAAAAAATAACTGGACCGAAAAGAAAGAGATAAAAAAATGTGTGTGTTTTTTTGTGCAACGCCACACTAAGTTTTAAGCTGTTATTTTGAGGTTTTAGCGAGGGCTCCGGAGCGGAAATACCTTACCGGAGGGCAGTAATGGTCGGCCGAAGAGGAGCGGCATGCCAAGCAAAGAAGGCGTTATTAAATATACTGTTTTTTTTCACGAGAGCCACATGCTTTCCGCCACAGTGTCGATACACTGCCGAGCACAGTGGGCTTACCTAGCGATCGTCCAGAAAGTACGTCCGCTTTTCTCAGAATTGTCCGGCAAGTTATAGGAGCTAGGCGCCTGCGAAAATCAGGGTAGGCCATCCAGCAGTGCACGCGTGCACAGCAGGCAATATATTGCCTACCGATCAGGCGCTATGAGAGCTTCCATTGGCTGAACTAAGCAGTTTCGTAACGGGAAATGGGGGACGCCTTTTTTGGATGCTCCCCGCTAGGACGAGCTAAGGGAAGAGGGATTTTTTTGAAATTGGTTTTGGCTTTTTCGAAGTGAAAGTGAGTCATGAATTAGACAATCACAAAGACAGATTAAGACAGCGGAAAGGGTGTGGAATAATCTCCGAGACGGTCGGGACGGTTGACTTTAACGGAATACGTCGACAAATTCCCTTCCCCTTCTTCTTGGAGGTGCACCCGAGTCACTCACTCGTGTTTGCACAGTGTACGAGTCCCATTCACGCCTGTGTAGGTCGCGGTGTATGGCCAGATTGCTTATTTATACCGCATATTTATGAATGGGATCAGCTGGCATCCCAAGTAATCGATACGTATACAACCCCCTTTTCCATCAGTGGCGAATCGAGGCCGCAATAATTATCTCATAAACGCAAGAGAAAATAACCCGGCCTTTTTTTTCTTTTTATTTTCCTCCTCATCTTGGTTGTCTTGCTGAGGTGGTGGGTGCAGAGTCGCCGGCCACCGCTCGCTCTCTTTCCCGCCAACTTTTCACCTCGCCGAGCCGAGACCAGCAGACCCATTAGGGTACCGCGGGTGATCGCTATAGCGTCAAGTTCACCGAGCCGCCGCGCACCTCGAGAGAGCAGCGGGGAGCAGGAGAGGAGGGCGGCTGAAGGCGAGACGATCAGTTCGCTTTCAAACGCCCCCGACCTTTGTGTAAACCCCGCGCTGTGGTGGTGGCGCGGTAAGGAAAACGGTCAAGCGCAGCAGCAGGGCAGGCCGCTACAAAAAAGCTTTTAAAATACTATTGCGTCGTGCTTGCGTACACACGGGCTTGATCAGCTTGCTTGTTGCTTCTGTCCGACCGCGCCCCGCCACGCCCCGCCACGCCCCGCCACGCCGTAACAGTCCTGGTTGGTAACGGAAGGATGGATGGGCGGGGTAGGGTGAGATGTGCGCGGAAGAGCTCGCGAAAAGAAAAGAGGATGGCAAAAAAAGTGGGAAAACATTCAAATGGCGGAGCTGTTGGCTCCAGGCTTGCGGGTGGCGGCGGGATGAGGGGCAGGAGCAGGGTAGCGCCGCCCGCGCGCGCCTCCGCCGCCGGTCCAGAGACCAGAGAATGGGGGCGGCCGTATCACGAATCCGGGCAAATTGTCCTGACCGGGTTTCGCCGAGCCTGGTGTGTATACCACGCTACGCCGCGCCACGACGGCCTCACGGCTCGGCGGTCTCTGTTCTGACCAGAAAAAAGTCTGCCCCAAAGCAAACAGCAGCTGCTACCACCTTACCTTAATGGCCTCGCAGTCCTGATTGGATCCCCTCGTCTGCTACTGCTACCGCTGCTGCTACCACCGGTGTACGCTGCAGCTACTAGCCGCTAAAGTGCTGCTGCTACGGCTGCTCCCGCCACCACACTGCAACTGCTGCTGCCACAGCTCTGCCCCACCGCCGCTGGTGAAAATGATGAGGATAATAGCCCCTCCTGCCTTTGCTGCTCCTGGCTGGTTTGGCTTTGCGCGCGACCGGGTCAGGCTGGCTCTGTCCCCGCCGGTGCCCCCCTGTGCTGCCCGAGTGACTGCGCGGGGGGCGTGAGATGGCGCGAGTGTGTGTGTCTATGAGTGTGTGTTTGTGGTGTTCGAGATCCACATTTGCTCGCCTGTGTCGTACGCTTTTCAAGTGTGGTTGGTGTCGCTCGGGGATCCCCTAGTGCCCCCTGCTTGCTCCCCTGCTCCCTGCGCGTGGCTCCGAATACACCACTACTTGTACTTACTACTATTACCCGCGTGACGTCACTAGACTCGTCGCGGCACCACCGACGCCCGAGCGCGCAGCTAGCAGCTCCACTCTACACACCTGGCAAAAAGAATAATGTCTCTATTCGACGTTGCGCCGCCGAGCCGCACCACACAGTGCGAGGGGCGAGCGCTGCGGGCCGCGGGCCGGCGACGCTCGCAGCTGCCGATCGAGTGACACGTGCGACTGGACAGACAGACAGACAGACAGACAGACAGACAGACAGACAGACAGACAGACAGACAGACAGACAGACAGACAGACAGACAGACAGACAGACAGAC